TGGAATCTGGCGGCGGAGCGGGCTGCAGTGGATTTGAGGAGATTATGGGTGTTGTTGTTGAAGTCTGATTTTGACAAGGAATGGGAGAGAGGGAGAAGCAGAATCTGGGATGAGGAAACAGAGGAAGAGAGGAGAAAACAGAGGAGGAGGAAAACGGGGGAAGCCATGGAAGGAGCTTAGAGAGAGAGAGTGGTGGGTTTTTAGAGAGAGAAAGTTGGGGATTGAGGAAGAAGAAGGTTCCGGTGAGAAGGAGAAATGGAGGTTTTTGTATGGGTTTGAGAAGTGGAGTGGCGGCCATTACAATAGGAAGCTTCTTGTTCTTCTTCTCTTTTCTTTTGGGTTAAATTGATTTCTCTGTATAAATCATTGTATCTTACTCAACTTTTAAGTTTATTGTATTACCAACTTTTAGTTTGCTATCTAATTAGTGTTTTGTTGTCAAACTCTTGTAGTAAGATCTCATATCGAAAAGATAAAGACCTACGTATGATTTATAATAATATAAGTAAATTATTTTTTCTCTCGATTTTGAAATACAATCTATAAATTAATATATAGTATGAGAATAAAAAACATTGTAGCTAGGAAAATGGAATCTTACCAAGATTTATAAACTAAAAAAGTCAAGATGGTGAGGGGCGTCTAAAAGATTTCACGTTAGAGTTTATAATTTACCTGGACTATATGAGATAGAACCCATAAATATTGATATTCTCGACTCTTGTACCATCGAAACTTAAATATGATGGCTCTTAAATTTTCGACTTTATGTGTAATGGATTAGTGTTATTAACTTTGTTATTACCACTTATACAATCAAATACCTAAACCTAAATCGAACTTATCATGCAATCTGTTAATAAAATAATAAAATAATAAACATTTAAATACTCTTTTTTGGTTTATATTCTCTTGATTTTTGTCAATTTTGATCTCCGTACTTGTAAAATGTTCATTTTAGTTCTTGTACTTTGAACTAGCTTAAACATTCATTTTAGTCATTATTCTTCTCCTACTTCATAAAATGGACAATTTTGATCTTTTTATTTTTTTTATCTAATTTATTTTAATCAAAATTTTACCAACATTACAAAGGACTCAACTCATCAATGTAACATTCCTTTTCTTTTTACAATTATTTACAACACAGCAATAATTTCAGATGTGGAAATAGAGAGAGGAGCCATTTGGCTTGTTCTGACCCATTGAAAAGAGCTCTCTTTATTAAAGCCAATTATATACATATATGTGTATTTCTTTTCTTGACAGTCGATTTATTTATGGTAGAACAGAGCCCAAATTTGTCTTTCTCTCACTTATGTGTCACAATTGTTGTTGAATCAAAATAAAACTAAGATTTGAAAATTTTGAATTTTGAATTTTTATACCTTTTGTTCTTATAATCTTTTTTCAAATAAATTTAAATAGTTTGTCATATTGTATTTCTACTACTGGGGAGAGGTTTAAAAGTATAGAGATTAAAAATAAAATTTATTTGAAATTTTAATGTGACATTTGATGACTTGTCATTGACAGTTTAGAATGTTAATAATAGATCGTGGATTGAAAATTAAATAATAAAAAAAAAGAGAGGGAACTTTTTATGCAATTCTATAAATTTAGTGTTAGAATTTCAATTTTTACATGATAAGTGTTACTCTCCTGAGTTCTCTAATCATTTAAATAAATCGAGAAAGATTAATATCAATGATATAATAGAATACGATATGTCCTTTGGTTTGATATTCTTTTGGTTAAAATTATTATTACATATAGTTTATGTAATACAAAGTGCTGTGTTCATCTTTTTGTAGGTAATAGTTTAGTGTTTTTTTTTTTTTCACATTTTTGAATTAAAATCTTGATTTAAAAATTTTATGAGAAACAATCTAGGAACAAAATATGAGTAATATAATGAAGTTATTAGCTCCTACATTTTTAAAATTATAAAAATTGATTGCTATAAAATATTATGAGAGCTCGAGACGAAAAAAAACCTGGCTATTTTAACATAAAATTTTTTAAAAAATATATGTTAAATTATAAATTTAGTCCATAAATTTTTAAAATTGTCTCTGATAGGTCTTTGAACTCTAAATATGTTTGATAGGTATTTAAACTTTTAATTTGGAGTTTAATAGGTTTTTGAACTTTTAAAACATCTAATAGGATTGTTGAATTTTCAGTGACGGGTCCTTAACCTATTATATATTTAAAAAATTTACTTGGCATATTAAATACAAAATTGAAAGATTGAGGCCATACGAGGCACAAAATTCAATTTTTGTGATCAATGTTAGTCTAATTGAATTGATTAAGATATTAATTAATATCTTTTACCCACCTTGTTATTAAAAATTAAAAAAAAAATTGACAAATGAAATTTCATAGAATTTGATTAAAGGTATGGTTTTGAAAAGAGGGCTTCTTTTATTAAACCCTAAGTTATCTTGTGAACTAAATGGGCTTTCCCTAGATAAGATTATTTGCCATTAATTTTTCCAGCTGTGCTTTGATTCTCCCTCTCTCTCTCTCTTGTAACACTACAAAATAAATTGAGTATTGAACAATATAAATTAATGAGCATATGGAATCATTTTAAACCCTTTTGCAACCAAAGTGGAAACTTTGGCTATTGCCTATAGTAATTCTTAAGCATTTTACCTTCCATCCCAAGGAAAAATCTACTTTATCTATAGTTAATTTTGTTAGAGAATGAATAACTTCAATTTTGCCAACTATTTTTTAAATTAGCTGTTTAGAGCTAATCTGAGTCTCGTTCAACTAATTTAAACATTTTTTATTGGCCAAAAAATCGTGATTTGAATTCTTACTTCCACATTTTCATATGTCTACGAACTAGAAAGAGAACATATAGTGAAGATTAAATATATAATCATTTATAATCTTTTAAGTTTTGGGGGTTGATTATTTATCGTTGAGATATAGCCCATGTTCGGACATTATTTATAATAATAAATGCCTTATTTCTTTTATTTTTATATATATTTACATAAAAAGATGAAATTATACGCCTTCTTTCTTAATAGATCACACGTCTTTTGAGTATTGCCCTTTTAATTTTGACTCCTAATTAAATCAATATTTGCAAATAATATATATATTTTTGAGTTCGACAATTGCTGAGTGGAGATTAAATCATAGAACTTAAAAGATGGTATAGATATCTTTAAACTTGAGTTATGGTCCTATTCAAATTGTTATTTTCATTTTTATTTCAATTCTAAACGTTTTAGTTAATGAAATATTACAACCTCATTTGATAATAATTTAGCGGCCGTTTGAGCTATTTTTTTTTTTTTTTTTGGTTTTTAGTAACTGAATTAGTGGTTCGGATACTCACGGATATCAAAAGGAAAAGTGTATTAACTTCACTGTTTTTTTTAGTACAAGAATTTGGATATATGGAAGATTAAACCTTCAACTTTGAAGAAAGAGTACATGCCAATTATCGCACGTTAAAAATTACGGTTTATTTTTTTTTAAGATTCATTAATTGACGGAATTAAGTTTTAATGTCCAATTTAACTTAAACAACTTAGTATAGGAGTAAAATATATATATATATATATATATATATATATATCTCCATTTAAAATAATATGATGGGTGGATTTAAAAGATGAATAATTTTAATTTTATTTGAAAAAGGACATTGGGGCTTAGAGAAAAGGGGAAGAATCTTATTTTGTCTCCAAACTAAAATGGGTCCCTAATAATATAATGGCAAAATGGGTATTTATAATTAAGGGGGGAAAATTCAAGCATGTATCTTATGCAGCATGGATGGTCCATTTATATCCAACCATTTCTAAAAGGACATTTTCTTGTTCATGATTTTGATGGAAATTCTTTCTGTTTTCCTATGTTTTCCTTTTTTCCTTTTTTTTTCTCTCTCTCTCTCTCATGGTTAAAAATTACAAGTTTAATTCTTAAAATTTTGATAGTTGTGGTTATATAATCCTTGAGCTTTCCAAAGTTTTAGTAACACTCTCTAATTAACTTTAAATTTAGATTCTAGTAAGTTTCTATTA